ACTCTGGGAACAGCAATTTCACCTAGGCTGTGACTCCCCTCGGCGCTAAGCACAAATTTTATAAACTCTGGCGCTTACGCTGAGAGCTTACATGGTATTTAAGGATTTTGAGGGTCTTGTAGCTCTGGACTCAGGGGTGAAATTCATCCAGTGTACTTAGCAGTTTTTTCCCTAGCTCTTCTACAGCACTTTCCTTCTGAGGATACAAAGTGATTTGCAAACATTAATTAATTCTCATAAAGCCCTATGAGGCAGATAAGTGTTAAGTATCCCTGTGTTAGTACATACGAGAAACATGAGACCTGAGTGCCTCGTGATCCACGCTGTTCTCTGTATTCACTCCCGGAAAGGAATATGTGCCTTGGGACAGAGGAAATCCCCATTTTTTCGTCATTCTGTTGTTTGCCTTGGACCTTCTGGAGTCCTTCAAGGGCAGCAGGGATGAGGCTGGGATTCAAGCTACAGCATGTGAGATTCAAGCTACACAGATCAGAAAAGAGAGGGAGCCTTGCTGTATTTGCTGCTGGTTTTGTGGGGGAAAGCGAGGCCGTTTATGCAACCTCTGGGTTACTTGCTCCAAATCTTAGCACTTTTCCTCTATGTAGTTTTAGTGAGGTAAGCACAAACGGGGCCTAAAGCGACTTCCCCGGGTTGTTAATTAACCTTAAGAACAATTTACAGCGTGGCAACCAGTAACACTGGAAATGGAGTCTTGGCCTTACTGAGGGCAAATGGCAGCTTTATGAGAGGCATTAAAGTAGCCAAATTTTCATGCTAACAATATTGGGTGAGAAACGCTGTTCTCCAGTTTTCGAGACAGACTAGACGTAAGATCATCCAAATGCTTTTCTGAATGCATTCTGACAAATTTATCTATGGTTACACGCCTTTCCAGCCCTCAGTGCACAGCACATAAGCTAATGTAACAATTATAATTACGATAGTGATCAGACCTACCAGGCCTTTTTAAGACATGAAACTCAGACTAATTCTCTAGTTTCCAACACAATGAGTTCAAATATGTGATGTAAATGCTAACAAAAAGATACCAAAATGAAAGGCATGTCAGGTCTGCGCCAGCCAAACTTCTATTGTTATCTTAACAAGTCCATATTCTTCAGGCATTGTTTGTATTTCTATTGTGCCAGGAGATTTTACTCTTTAGTTTGAGGATTCTCCCTGAATGGGGGAGGGAAAACGTTGCTATCACTGTGAAAAAGAAACATTTCTTTCTGACATATTAAGCATTAAGAGGATTATGTAAAGGCAAGGCATATTGCAGAAGGAGATGTTCTTAATATAGCTTGTACCATGAACCCATGGCCCTCCAGAAAATTTAAGAGAGTTAAAAAAACCCTATTGCTTTGACAATCTTTTAATTTAAAAAAAAATCTTCTTGTAAAAAGATCAAGGAATTCATCCACTGTTATTTACATAAAATTCAACCTTTCCTGCTTAAAATCATGAATCATTTAATGTCACATCTGCAGGATATCTGAGGCAGATGCCATTAATCCAAGTCATTTTGCAAATTCCAATTTCATTTGGATTAAAACCTACAACTAAGTCAGTGAGTAGTATATGTTGTACATGCGTTAAGGCTGGTGACTACTAAAGTCTCTTGGGTAGATAAACGAAGCACAGATTAGGCAGGTCTAAGTGTATGTCCTCATCTAGGGAAAAAAGATATCCTGACATTTCAGTGATGTAGATTTGAATCAGTAGCCATGAAAAATGGTTGAACATTTGTATTACAAAAGAGATAGTATGGCACAGTCCCAAAGGTGCATTTTTTATAAATTAATTAGCTACACGAATTATTTTGATAACAGCTACTGCACTTCTGAGGTGATATGGCTGTTCAGTGATGAGTACTTGATGATCAATGGTAGGCACTAGTAATATCCTTCATGCTGAGTGACTTTTATCACTATTTAGATTTACAGTATATACATATGTGTTTGTATCTACACTTAGGTCTTGATCTTCTTAACCTCCTTTACCTAAGTCCTCTGTTCCCTATATTCTCTTCCTTTGGAGCCCTGTGATATCTGGATAAAAGAAACAGGCAAACAAGGTGTTGGCATATCCTGCCATGTGGCTGGGAGGACTATGCTTGGCTCTTGGCCGCACTTGAACCTCGGCGTGTGCTTTGTTCTTACCTGTCACTCACGCCACCATGGAAAACTATAAAGGATTAAGGCCAAGGGGTCTGTATGATCTTGCTATCTCTGAGGATCCCATAGGCTGCTCTGTATTTGTTGCACCCACCTGCAATATATTGTTCCTTTGAATCCATTCCCATTGCTTTACCAGCCCTGACTGATTCATAAGCCTCTGTTTGTAACCAAACCTTTCCCTCCAGGCATAATCCTTCTGGATTTGTACAGAATGACTTCTTGCTTTCCCAAAATGAACCTGAACATTGCTATGGCGTAAAGAAGCCTGCATGTTCGTGGACTTTTTTACCACAGATTAAAACAAGTTGGTGTCTTTCATGGAACCCCTAAGAAGGACAGTCTCCTCTGGTCCCATCCAGAACACACAGAGCACCTTCAACTCATGGTGAAGTACCTAAGACTGTTCAGGTTCTTGAGGAGGAGCACACGCTTAACTGGACCAGGTGTAAAAGCCAAAAGCACTTTGCCAGACCAGGCCCTACGAAGATGAAATGTAGTATTTGTTGTCATCATGCTACATTCAGTCATCTAAACAGGAGCAACCTTATACAGCAAATTGTCTGCACAAAAGAGTATTCTAAATAACCTCACCAAAATAGTATAGCTGCAAGAAACCCTGTGGAGAGAAGGCCAAAACCTCCAATCCATTTATATGTCTAGATGGTTTAAAAGGCTGCCATTTCATCCTGTTACACCACCAGAAGTTAGGGCTCAGTGTGCTCATAAGACAACACAGATGATGCCAGCACAATACCGAAAAACCAGTGTGTTTTTCCATGGAAGCAATGGGTATTTTAGCTGGAATAATTCAATATAAGAACAATGCACAAGAAAGGACAATTATCTACAAGAGATCCTTAGCACTTGGAAATGTTACAACAGGACAGGATTAATTCTTGCATTTCTTCGAAGTTTCTTGACATATTACATCCATACAAAGAGTTCATCGTGATTAAGAAAAATATCCCGATCTTAGTAAAATAAACATGCTTCAAAAGTTCCATATTTGAAACTCAAATGCCACATGTGCAATAAAACTAAACTCCATTTAAGGCAAGTAATATATGTCACTTCTAAAATTTCTCAACATTTAATAGCAGTAAGGGCTCCCAAACCCCCAAACTTATCTGAAGATAAACGTCATAGGCACCATCAAAGAAAACAGAAGCTAATCTAACTGGAATTTCACTTTCCTGATCTGAGGAGAAAGCCCACAGAACCTTCATATGGTATTGAAGCAGCTGACAGAATCCGTTGCTACTAGGCTAGTAAATCACGACACGCTTCCACAGCCGGAGATCAGGCAACTGATAAACAGAAAGGCACCGATCAAGTTCTCCAAGATACTTGTGACCAAACAAATTGTGTTCGTTCTGGGGTGGGTAACAGCCAGACTTAAGAGTGACAGAAGGGCTCGGAGCGGGGTATATTTTGTCATTTAAAGGCAGGTCCGTGTTCACTCTTAAAGCCAGCCATGCTGTAACGCTCAAGTCCATGCTAAGAGGTGACCACAGCCTGAGCTCAGGACTTCTCTTGGGAGGGGGGAAGTATCTGAGCACCAGTGGGCACATAAATACAGGCCCAGGATGGCTTGGAGCTGAGCAGTTCCTCAGTAGCTACCCTGCTGAGCTGCTTCAAAGAGCGGGGTGAATGCTCTGACTCTGAACAATAGCTGGAGTCATGGTAAGCAGTCTTGACAAACGAAAGGCAGGCACGTGGGGCTCAGTGTGCTCTCAAGCCCGCTCTTTACCACAGGGTACAGACAGCCTGCGTTACCACAGATGTTTTACTGAGAATACGTCCCGCATGGTTCAGTATCTTTTTTGCAAAACGCAGCTCTTCAAAAATAGGGGAAGCAAAAAAAGGGAGCAAGGACCAATCAATTGACCATCGATATCTGTGGCTACCTCTACTTGTATCTTCTATTGAAAGAGTCTTTTGTACTCACATTTCCTTAATATATAAGTAAATTAGATCAGAAAACAACAAACAAAGGGTCCAACCAGTGACTCGGACAAGAACAGTCCATTGAAAGTCACTGAAGCTGCTGACTTGACTAAAGGCTGCAAATCTGATTGCAAAAAATTATATTTCCAATATAGAAAAAGAAAACTGAATGTGTGAAAACCACTGAAAATGAACAAAAATGCACTGAATGCAAGTTGATATGAACTGGCCTTGACCTCAGCTAACCTAAATTAAACTCCAATTATTGTGGGATTAATTCTTCTGGCATGAAAAACACAGCCTGTCAACAGGAACTGAAAACATCCCATAAATCAAGAAACGTTAAAGCCTAGTTGAGGATTATGCACGAAGAGTGAGAGGATTATGATAGGAAATAGTTCTTAGCCTGATGAGCAGCAAACTCAGCTTCCCAGATAAAGGAAATTGCATGTAATGCTCCCATACAGCCTAGAAGAAAATGCTGCAAGCTTCTGCTAGAAGAAAAATATATGAAAGTCAAAATCTGTGGGATGAAGCCTTCCCATGCAAAGCCAACAACTGTTACAGATATTTTTCTGTCTCTCTGTATATATGCAGCTGAAATTAACACATTTTCTTTACTAAGTGGCTTGCAGGTTGCCGTATTTTTTCATTTATCTATTCACTGTCAGTAACAGAATGCGATTTTCCACCATCTCTTTTAAGTTCTTGCTATCAGCATATCTGTTTTCAGGCTTTTTGCTTTCTACTCTAGGTTGTACTGTTGGTGAGGAGCTGAACAAGAGGTAAAGTTATTTAAAGACAGGAGATAAAGAAATGCATGCAATTTGTTGAAACTTATTGCACATGAAGGAATGCCATCTGTCTCCAACAATGCAGACTACACAACTCCTCTGTGTGCCCCAGTGGGGAAGTAACAGGGAGATGGCACGTTAATATTGAAACTTCCGTGATGCGTCCGTGCTCGCAGTAAAAGTTCTCCATGTCTATGATTTGCCCTCATTCATTCCAGTTCAGGAAAGCCCTTGTGTATGTGCTTAAGCTCTGCTGAAGTCAACGGGATTTCAGTACAAGCTTAAAGTTAAGAATCTATTGAGAGCTTTCCTGAATAGGGATCTGTGCTTATTGCACTTGATTCAATCAGCCCGTGAGATTTTGGTTTCTGAGTTTTTCAGCACAAGAATAGAAAGGGTATGTTTTGTGCATTAAGATCAGTTCTTTCTAGTATTTCTACTGCATGAAAATGTTTGGAGAGTGGTACGGAACAATTCATTCTGAAGAGACATCATTGTATATTGTACATATGCACACATACGTGTCTACGCTCAGAAAAATTTCGCTCAATATTGAAGTAATATTCACCTTTGTTTGGATCAATGCTGTGGTTGACTATTTCTGTAGCACAGTGTCCAGAATAACTGAATTATCCATGAAAGGTATACTGTCCATGTGAATGGCACACAGTCATTATGACAAGTGGGCGCTATTCCGCACCCAGTGAAGTCCTTGTTGAGTGTACTGAACTAAGTGCTCCATACTGCTGTGCAAGGTGATAGGTCCCATCAATGCATCCAAGTCATTAAAAAAATCTACAGGGAAAAAAAGATCCAGCATCAGAAGAGTAAAGCTCTTGTATTTGCTACTTGTCACCCTTTAATAGATTTTATTCTCTTGCAAATGGAGTCAAGATGAACATTTCATGGGAGTGAAAGTTTAGTGCGGGTGAGATTAATTTTAAAGCCCTGTGGTTCATGATGTTACAGGCTGATGCACAACAATTTTCTTTTCAAAGAACAAAACAGTGAGTTCTTTGGCTTTGCTTTTCATTAATTTCCATTGAGTCTTGATAAAGCAAACAGATGCTGGGCAATTTTTATTTTGAGATTAAGGACACCTAAATCAAAAAATGTACACACAAGTGTCTATCTATACATATGCTAGATATTTAAGCTACCACGACAGAGAAACAGAGGCCTGTATAACATGGTCATCCCAGCCTAAAGAGTAATATTTGGCTAACTAGCCACTAAGGACTAAATTCAGTTGCCTACTTAGAGGTATGTAGTGCCCATTTGAGATGCCCTCAGGCAGTTGATATGTACAGCCCCGACTGGCAGATCTAACACAGGACGTACAGGAGACTTCTGGAGCGGCAGTGTAGGAAAGGATACCTCAAGTGGCATTTGGCAGCTATGGTTGGGCAACCGAATTGTATTCCTTTGTCCCCTGCAGGGTGAACTGAACAGGTCTCTGAGCTCTGCTGTTTGTATTGAACAAAGCTCCATCAACTGCAGTGGGACATTAGCCCCCCTACTCATATATACACCCCGACATTTAGGTTTCCTCATTTTGATTTGAATCCTGCCTATGTCCCTGCCTTAAATACATAAATAAGCCTGAAAACCACAGAATACTTTATCATCAAGTCAGATGCTGAGGCACTTGCTCATGGAGACCAGTTCAGCTGGGAGCGGTTTGCTTTGAAGAGGGAGCGAGGCACCTCGTTCCCATGTGTGTCTGCTCAGATGGGGGAGGGCTAGGGCCTGTTCCTTCCTTCTGCAGAAAGGAAGCAAGCTCCTGCTTTTTGACGTGGTCTGGCTAAACGCATCCCATCCAGCTCCATGACTTTGGGGGGGCAGGAACCTGCCTTGCCTCCCACAAACCTTTTTACTCCAGAATGACACAGATGGCAGTGAATGCTACCCACAGCTATGCCTGCTACCTGTCTGTCACCAGTCCTGACCAGCCAAACAAAGAGAAAAAATAGATGCTTCTGAGCGAGACAGCTATCAAAACTGCCTTTTGGGGACGTTTTGGATAGACTAGGAGCAGACTGAAGAAAAAAATCACCTCTGCAGTCCTACTTTGCAGACAGGATTCCTATCAAAGTAGTTATTTTTCCATATAATCATGCCACAGTCTTCTAGAACAGTCCATTGCCTTGACTCACTCACCTCTGTTTTCCTTGGCCAGGTTGTCAGCCATCTCCCAGTAGTCATAGCTGTGCAGGATGCTGTTGGTGATGCTGACGTGGTTGGCGGCCATCTGATGAATGCGCTGCGGGATGCTGATGATAGGAGATGGGGAAGGGGCCCCTGTGCTCCCCTGGGATCCTACAGAGCTGACTGGAGAAGGGCTAGGGGACATGGGTGATGGAGTTCCTGTGCTCCTGGAAACAGATGTTAATACAGTTACTTAAAAGGCATTGGGATTAAAAAGATGAGAGTATCAGAACATACTGCAGGTAAGAAAATATAATTTCTGACTGCCAATCTGATGTAAGTTTCTCTGCGACTTACTTTCCACTGGCACCCCAAGGAGATGGGTTCTGGGCAGCTTTTGATGAATTCTGTAAGGGAAAAAATAATTCACAATGCATATGATTTATATAGGACTACAAAATGAAGAACATTAAACTATAAAAGTAAAGAAATGTAAAGAAAAAAATGTGGACTTAGACATATTCAAGTCTCATGATGCAATAAACCCAGTCAGCCTAGTTTGGTGCTGGGATGAAGCTGTGCTGCAGCACAGACTCAGTCTATGAAACAGCCTGGGATGCGGGCTGATTAGGAAAACATGTTAGGTGAAACTGAAACTTTTCACAGAAATCCTGAGAATTCAGAAGAAAGTGCTGCCAGCACTCTTGTGAGGTTTAGGCTGGAATTTCTTATGACAGAGAAAACCAGAAGTATTTCCTCTCACTCTCCTGCCCCCAAAGACAAATGTCATTCTCCTAGGACCTGCGAAACTGTGCAAGTTTGCTCAGCCTGGCTGACCACAGGGATGTCAATCTGAGGCTCCCTCCGCTCAGGTTGGTGTTTTAACCCCCAGTCTCAAGAATCTCTCTCACTGTTGCTCCTCTTGGTCTGAATATGGCAGTATTCATAGGGTCAGAAAGACTATGTTGTAGACTTGTGGTTCTTCCAGCTGAAGGGTTCCCCAGAAGCCCTCAGAAGGGAATATTATGTCACTTAGTGTGATCTCTTGTATATCTGTAGTCATTAAGACTCTCACTGGTATGCTGTGCTTAGGCTAAAGAATTTCATTGCTTCAGGAGAGACTACCTTGTACAAGCACTATGTTTACAAAGCAGGAGAAATTCAGGTGTCAGCAATAATGGAAACTGAATAGCTACGATGATTCTAGTAGTTAATCTGCAAGAGCTGGTGGGAATTTACTGGCAGGTTCCTGCCCATTTGACCTGTGGGAAAAACTCCTCCCCTCTCCTAAATGCAGTGACTGATTAATCCTGGGCCTGTGAGAAAGAAGGATGTAAAAACCAGAAGTCTAAGAAACAAAACTTTTCTAGTCCATCCCATCCACAGCCTCATGCTCAGCAATGGCCAGTCTCTGATTCTTCTGAGGAAAGTGACCTCCTTGCGCTCTCCCCTGAAACCATAAATGCAGATAATTGTGTGCTGGAGAACAGCCCTCCCTTCTTGACAACCACGGGAGACCAAGTGAAGTGGTGCAGCTCGAGTTCTGGTTGTGGATATTGTTTAAATGCAAGGCTGCAGGTGTTGCAAGCTGCAGGAGTTACAAGCGTTAACAGCAGTACAAAACCTCTTGATCTCCCATGGCTTTGGAAGGAAAAATGAAAAAACAAGGGGCTTCAGAACTTTGCGGATTTCAAGGCCCGGAGTAATCCCCCAGGATACTTGGTCTGCAGTTTCCCTTTTCCACCAATCATGGAACTTTTATCAGAAGCTAAATTACTTTTTTATTTTATTCTTTTTAAAAAGGACAGTGAGTCATAAAGAAATCCTAAGACACTATTTATCCTCCTTGTTCTCCTGTGTCCTGTTCTAATGTTTATCAGGCTTCACGGATAGAAAAACAGATTCTGTTTCAGAGTTTCAAGACAGAATTTTCTTAACTTCAGTTCTAGCTTTTGGATTTTGTTGGTCCAATGCCAGTAAACCTGCATGTTGCCTGGTATTATCAGCCCTGTTTCCACATACACAATGCTCACACCCTCTCTTAACCTGTTCTCAGCAGGCTGGACACATCTCTGGAGCCTCTCTTCAAAAAGTTTGCTTTCTCAGTTTTGATGTGTCCTCTGAACTGCCTCTTGTGTTCCCACGGCTTTCATGCCCATACCAACACTGGCTGTATTTTAGCAGTGATCACATCAGTGCTCTGGATGCCCTGGTATTCTTCCTGCATTTGGACGCTGGGCCTTCTAGATCCCAGGTAAGTGGTATGAAGAATAAGCTTTGGAATGTCCCACAGCGGGTTCTTCCCTCAATGGGTTTTCTTTTTTTTTTTTTTTTTTTTTTGGCAGGAAGGGCTAAGGTGTGAAAGGAAAAAAATGAAAAGTTCTCATTTACCATCCTAAATAGAACTAACCTGGGAATCCTCGGCACTTGCTTCTCTTACAGAATAGTTTATTTTTCTGTTTTTCTCCTTTCTTTTCTGATCTGTCTCAGAACTACTGGCCTTCATCCCTCTGGTGTAATGGAAACTGAGTACATGTTATTTACTTACAGAGTTGGAGGAAGGAAAATATAAAAATTGAAGTGGAGTCAAGGATACTTCTGCTGTAAATGTAACCAGCCTCTGCCTTACTATACAACTTCCCACACCTTTTTATCTCATGTTTTATGTTTATTACTCCAGCTTCCTTTCAGTTCTGCACCAGAAAGGTGTGGGGGTAAGGATTCTAAAGAGTGTAATGTTGTAAGGGCCATCTCTTATCCCAGTTTGCTCACTGCTACCCATTTTCCTCGTTTCTTTATGCTCTCACATGTGTCTGGCCCCTGAATATCCGTGGCTTCTTTTTAATTCTCTGCTGCATTAATTTTTTTTTATAATGGAAATAAAATACTTCAAAGGAGATTTAAATAATGATTTTTTCTTTTCTAAAAGAAAAGTGTGTCTAATTTCCCCTGCAAATGTGTATGACAAGGTTTAAAATCTTTCTTTTATTGATAATATATGTGGAAGTTCTTAATGCAGTCAGAATTTCATGTCACTTGGTTTTGAAAGCTTTTAGATACCAAATATGAAATGAGTGGAGAATTGGCTTGTTTTCCACTGAAAATTATAGCAAATGGATTTTTTTTCCTATTTTTACTTTCAAAGGTGAGAATACTTTCTAATGCGAAACTATGCTTTCATTGTATCAGCAGGAGCTCTGCAAAAAACCAAGCTCATCTGGGCTATAGCAGAGTGTTAAGTCCATTTCACGTTTGCTGTGAAACAGTTTCTGTCTGCTGGTAAGAGACATTTTACATGGTTGAGAGCCTGACCATCCTGTTCTTAATGCAGGTACTCTCTGAACTGGTAAAGAAAAATAAAGTACTGTAATAGGCATATATTTCTTTCCCCTGAAATCAAGTCATTGTTAGAGAAACGTAACGTGTTGGATTATATATTGCTAAATTTTTAGAAGCAATTACAGTGACTTCAATTTCAGTTTGACAATAACGGATCTGTCAATTTCCTTCACTGTCTTCACGTGTTCAGAATCTGGTCATGAGCATTCGTGCTTGTATTTGAATTTTTTTTCTTAACAAAATGTCAAAGGATGGATGTTTTTCATTTCAAGGTACCTCCCTCTGCAAAAAAACCCCAACAGATGAGCCCTGTGTTTGAAGACAAATGGCTGTTCGGGTCCCCAAAGCAGTTTGTATTAAAGCACTTGTATGTCAATGTTATTTTTTTTTTTTTTAATTAGAAAGATAAAGGCTAATTTTGTGTTTGTAGATCAAATGCTGGATGGACTGACTGCTAGGTGAGCTCCACCTGAAAGGTTTTGTTCTTGAGATACTTTGCAGAGAAAGGTTGCCTGTCAAATAAAATATATTAAAATACTTCAAATTACTTCCTGTCTTACTCAAAATAACCAGGGTTTGGACCTGACAGAGAGTGGAAAATGGAAGCAGTAGCATGCAAAGCAAAGCGGGAAAGGGAAGCCGGCAGTACTGGGTCAAGTACATGGCAGGCAGTTTGGTTGTCCCGTGATACTTTTGGACAACTCCCACTGAAGTCAGCGTGGGCTGTTTGCCAGTTCCTCTGGTAAGAACACGTCCCACTGCACTGCCCTGCCCTACCTACCGACGCTCCTAAGTGGAAGCCCTGCAGCTGAGGACTGATCTAGATCAAAGTCTTCAACTCACAGGTAAGTCTAGTGGGAAGTGTAATCCTGGAGAGGGTTCTTAGAGCAAAATCTGCAAAACCTATTCACAACAGAGCTGGATAGCGCTAGCCAATCGACCAAAAATAATCTGAAAATGCCTGTTTGTTACTATAATAAATTTCTGATCCATCATGAAGGGACACGGTGTGTATTTTGCAAAGAGGGGCCCTTGTGAAGACCACAGAACTGACTAGAGATCAGGTGTTGCCATGGGAGTCTGTAGTAAAACTCTGCTGACTTCACAGGGGAAGAACTAAGCCCAGAACAGCTACTGTTATTTCCTATAATGACAGACTGATCAAAAAGCATGCCGTAAAGAATGCACCTTGAAATACTCAATAAGCGCTTTCGAATACTTGACCGCATGGTCTCTCTTGAGTCGGAACATCCTCCAGTACAGAAGGGCCAGGCAGCGGTAACTGGAACAAAAGGGAGAGCAGAAGGTGAGGTGTGCCCCCCTGAACAGAAATCCCAATTAATTACCTTAAATTATCAAACTAAATCAGCGTGGAAGGCTGACAGCACCTTGCTTATGGTTTTTATCACCCTTTGTTTACGGTACGTCACACTTGGCCACGGCTTCGTGAGCAAGGCTGGGTATTACAGCCAGGACAGGTCACACTGACAAATGCTACCAGGCAGGTACTGAACAAACGATACTCAGAAGGGTTTGCAGGTTTGGGTTCCCAGGCCCTGACTCTGACTTGAAGTCTGCACGCTTCACCAAAGGCCTCTCCCGTGAAAAGATTATTACAGGCCTGGAACCCGACACAGGCATTTTTTGGTATTTCTTTTTGTAAATGCAAAGGCAGCCTTTTGGGGTGTCTTATCCTGGGCCTCTATTACATCAGCCTAGAGCCTGCATAATGAACTAGAGTTACAGTGGGTCTATTTTGTGTACACCCAGTGGCCTCTTCCAGCAGCTGGACATAGCTGGGGAACAGGGAAACCTCGGCCTTGCCCAGATTTTACTGGCCAAGCTCCTCTGTGGAAAACCAGAACAGAGGTTGTGTTGGAGCCTGGAGGCTATTCCTAGGCCACCTGCCTGACTTGTTCCCCAGAGGAAACCAATAGTGGGCTGAAAAACTCAACGCACTGTGCTGGAATTGCCCTCATGCTCCTCGTTAGTCTGCAGAGTGCTGCACACCTTTAATGCTATGTAATTAAATGAGAGTAATAGCTATTAACTGTAATTATACATCACAATAACTGATAATCAGCATTCAGGACACACAAACTCTTTTCCTTGCTGTTTGCTTTAGGTGCACAGGTCTATTTTCTGAATCAAGACTCACCACTACCTTTTCCCAGCAAGCTTTTTGATCAGCACATGTGGGATGGCCCCTCGGTAACACAGCTTTCAAAGCACAAATCTGGTGTGTTTTGCTTTTCCGTTGGCAGCAGAGGCCTCATTTTTAACAGCAGTATTTAGTCTACGAGCCAACCCGAAGCACCAGAAGGTGGCTTGAGTTTGGAAGCGCCGAGCGCTCCCCACCTCCCCGCGCCCAGGAGCTGCCCAAACCTCAGCAAACCCCTCGAATTAGCAAATTGCTCTTAAGAGAAAATTCCCAGCCAGGGTTTCTCAGCCTCTTTGCCTCCCGTCCTGAAAGCAGAAGGTGAATTTCTGCCTTTGGCCGCTGGAGGACAGTCTCTCCTCAGGAGAAGCGGAGCCGGGTGCGCCTCCTGCCTGGCAGCCTGCCCGGCGGGCGCTGGGAGCAGCCAGGGGATGCGGTGGCCTCGCAGCCACCATAACTCTCACTCTGTCACCTTCACAGGTACAGCACATATGCAAATGGTGTCAGCTCATCTGCTGGCTGGCAGACGGTGAGTTAAGATTGCTATTCATCGCGCAGAGAAGGCACCGTCTGCTTTCCCTCACGCTGACCTTTCTGCTGAAAACAGATGCAGCGGCTCCATGAATTTGGACGTGGTTCCTCACGCGCCGAAGCGCTCCGGCAGTTCTGAGCAACCCTTTGGAATATGGCTTTATTTTATTTTATTTTTTTTTTTTTGAACTGTTCTTTAGTCGTTTTCCCACCTAAGCGGTTTTAAAGCAATTGCCACGAATGCATTCTGTGCTCCTCCCGATGGCACAGCAAACCAGGGACAAAGAAAGGGCATTTTAAGGAAAAAAAAAAAGGCATCTTTGAATATTTTGTTCCTTTTTATACAAATGATTAATTAAGACTCCTTAGTTATGGAGGCTAAAGATGCATTTAATTTGGATTTTTAACAGATGGTTAATAGATGTTAAAAACACACTTGCTGATTGTAAATGTCCACTTACTGGGAATCAGCAACCATGTAATAGGCATTTTATGTATTATCTACACAGATATTAAATTAAAATTTGATTTTAATAACATTTTATTATTTTACTAGCAATCAGCAACCACCCTATAGAATCAAAGGTGTGTGCATATATGTCTAGAAATCTCAATTTGGAAGGTAATCCAAGGGGCTTAATTATCACCATCACTATATCTCCCTTCATATAATGTAAATATAATTTATGATTATTGAGCCTAAAATGTCAGTCACAAAAGAAATTACCGAGCTATTGGTACAGAAGTACATCACTCATAAAAACAACAAACCATCAGGCATTTAAAAATTAATTACGCTGACGTACCATAGCTGACCTGTCACAGTCAATAAGTATGAATTGCTTATTTACTGAGACAGAACGCAGACCTGGTACAGTGATACAAGGGCTGGGCCTTCCCAGAGCAGAAAGTATTCTCTTAATTTCAACAGACAACTTAATCCTATCTGGCCGTGTCCAGCATCTCATCTTCAAGAACTGGCTTACTGCAGAAAAGAAGCCTTTTGAGGAAATCTTGATCTACTAACCATAGTGCTGCCAGCTGTTTGTCTTCTGGCGTGGCGTTGGGGCCTGAGTGGGTTTTTAGTCTCACTGCATACCTTAAGCAAAAGGAAAAAAGCCAATGTGAGTTAACGGAGACAGCTTTATATTACTGATCAGAGAGTTAAGCTGGCCGATGTCATTTGGTCTGCCCCTTACACTTATTTGCTCAAGTTACCAGACATACATGTGCTTTTTCTGGTTGTGTTTCGGAGCTATTTTGCCATTAGCAGTGCCTCCCCGCACTCTTTAAACAGCAGTAACTCCCTTCAACATCCATCAGTCCAGAGGGGAGCCTAGCTGGCGAGGTGATGCTGTCCTACCAAAATAACCTCTGCTGCGGTGGAGACCCAGTTACAGAGAGTTTTCATAGCGTTTGAAGGCAGACAGCGTGCCTTGAAGCTGGTGCTGCCCTCACCCTGCCACTTCTGAGCGTGTCTACCCAGATTTGCTCCTCCAAGCAGAGCACAGCAGAGGGGGGAACATGTGGCTTAGAGCTATTTTTGCTCATATGGCATTACATTCAAATTCTATAAATATTAAACATCCACAGAGGTAGCACTGCTGTTTCAAGAGTGTATGTGCTATGCAATCACAAATTAGTTTCTGGAAATCTCAGCTTCCAGCTGAATACCTGAACAATGGACAAGGTTAGGACAAGACACAGCACTTCTGGGCTCGCTTCCAGAAAAATACCTGTTCCCCATAATTAGCTGCTTGTGGTTTTTTCTTATCTTTGCCTTCAAACTTTAATCCTGATATCTGTGCAAAGATTCAGTACGAACATTTTGTTTCAACAGGCATACCTAGCAAACCACTTATTTTTCTGAGCTGCAGCAAGTGAGATCAACAGCGATTCACACTACAACACAACCACAGCTACACGCATTGTTGAAAGCTACGGATCTGCAAACAAAATTCATTTCCAGAGTTAGGACCATATATTTAGTATCATGAGAAAAGACAGGGCAGACAATGAAAGAGCTTTCTGCCTTTTGAAAAAAAGAAGGGAAGTATTGCGGAGATGGGATGTACTATTCTCTTGCTGAAAAAAATTACTTGAACTTGTCTAATAACCTTCCAGTTAGAAAGCTGGCCTCAATCCACTGAAATGCATGAGAAGACAGCCCTAAGTGGACTAAAATGCCAATGGAATTATTAACATGGGAGAAAAACTTCACATCAATGCTAAGTCCAAAAGAACATAATTGTTTTAGAAGCTTTGCTTCATTATGAATATGATTAATAATTAAAATGTTTTACTTCCTATGAACATAGTCCTGATGAGAGCTACGTGGTTGACTGTCCTGAGGAATGATGCCGTGGCCACTGACAGTGCAGCTTTCTTCGCTAGTGTGGCTGGGCTCGCTCTCTTGCCGAGAGACTCACTCAGCAGCTGGGATGATTTTGACCTTTGTTTTCACTACTGACACTGTCAATGATGTTAACTATGAGCACCAGCTCATAGGAGAAAAGGGCTCAAGAGACAAAATTTCTTCATAAGGACTGTGGGAGGCACTGAATTCTAGACTGCCCTGTTCGGAGAGCCATGAAGGTGACTAAATATGGGGGTAGCTTTAGTGTGAGCTGGGCTGCTTTTGGGACTCCACAGGCCACAGTAGAAGCATACACACCAAATGGACCTTGAGTGTCCATTTTTCTATCACTGCTCACATCTTCTTTCAGATAACCTTTAAACTGTAGTCTTAAACATGCTGCAACATTTTGCAAACTACCACACCATGAGAATGTTTTGATATTACATATTATTATTTTTCTTTTTTGAGTAGCACAGGACTTATATCATGAAACTCTCGAAATAATTTGCAACTCAAATAATATGAAAAGCTTTGGAGGTTTTTTTTGTTTTTGTTTTTGTTTTTCATTCTACAGTTTTCTGATTTAATTTCCATAGAAATCACAGATAATACAGACACATTACCAGGCACTTGGGAGGACCTCACATCTCCCCTTTTGCTATTTCTAGGGAAATATGTGATAATGTAGATGAGCGTGTTTGCACAAACAAAGTAACCCGAGGTCATGTCCGCCCTTCCTACCTGATGAGCTCAACTGTTTCTGAATACATTGTATAAGGGGACTTAGATTCCATTGGGCCTTGTTCCATTGCATTTCCACACTCAATAAACGATAGCGCTGCTTCCGCATAATTCAGTGCCTTTCCAAACTTTTCCACCTAGAGGGAAAAAATAAGGACACAGAGAAATAGTGTAATCAAGATATAGTTACATCTGATGGGATTTTCTCAACATGAATTGTAAACTTGACACAAGTTGGTATATCATCAGATTCACAATTTTTCCTTTGAGAAAACTAAAACCCATCAGACCCTGTGCATTGGTGAAAATCATAAGATACAGAAAGTAGAGCTGAAAGAGGCTATGAGATGTTATTTGGTCCACACTCTTACGTCCAAAGAAGGATCAACTCTACCTAGGACATTCCTGACAGATGTTTGTCAAAGCTCTTGCAGTGCTGGAAATTCCACAAACTCATCAGGTCTTTTGTTCCAGCTTTCATTAAAAAGGCTTTTACACATCTTTGCAAAGGTAGTTTTTCATTACTCAACAAAGAAAGGTAATGATTATCTTGAACTAAGAGAGTAAGAATTAAATGCTTTGACTACTAACTCTTATTTAAAGGCTCATCTCTGTTCTCATGTCTTCTTTCCCTTTTTTTCATTTTCAGCACTGCTTGACCACACTCTCCTCTTGTCAGGAATTAGCTTTCTATATCCTCCTCTTTCAGGGACTGCTCTGCTCCCTCAGCTTCTTCCGCATTCTCCTTCCTTGCCCCATTTCTTCTCCTATTTTTGGTATTTCTTTGACTCTGTCTGTGTGTACTTACATGGATATATGTGCCTATATGCCCTCAGTGATGGTGTATATGCAAATATGCACATAATGTTCATATATATATACACTTACATACCACTTATCTGCTCTTAAAATTTCATTTTTGATGTGGGTAGAGATGAATCATCCTAATACCTCTCTATCCTGACTTCTCTTTTCTTTAGTCAGAACTCCTGCAGTACATAAAGCCCATTAATGGACTGGATGCATTTGGTTGAAATCTGATGCACACAGTGAAAGGTTAATGGACCTTATTCTTTTCCAGGGGGTAAAGATTTTAAATAGTAACTTTGGAATGGCACACTGGCTTCAATCTATTTTAGGTTCTTATACGACTCCCATTGCGATCATAGTGGAGAACTTCACAAACTTTTTATTATATTTCTTTTTCGCTCTTGTGCGGGTGGAAGTGCTATTATCCCAATTTCACAGATGGGGGACTAAGGAGCAGAGAGACTTAGAGTAATTTTCAGGCTGCTCATTCTAAGTGCCTATATTAGGTATTGTAGTGCCAAAGTAGGAGACATCAAGCCTAACAAGGTGATTTAAAGTGCCCGGAGGCACTTCGGCAATATGGCAATTCCTCCAGGATCCCGACACAGTCAAGGAGGGAGAGGAAGCACCTGCAAAGGGTGATTCACAAGGTGTAAGTAAGATCCCGGTCCCCTGTGTAGTGTGGAGGGAAGCTAGTGTGAAGGATATTTCAATCACCTAATACTGATGGGAGGCTATTTAAACTGTGCCTAAGTGAATTTCATGCAGGAAACTTGTGGCAGGGCAGAGAATAATGCTTGCACCTCCTGTTTCTGTGAGTCTACCATAAAAACATTTCTCTTCAGGCTAAGAATTTCCTTTGCATATTAAGTAATCTTTTCCATTCTGTTTAAAGCAACACACTAAAATGCACCATTTGTACTTCTCCACAATAATTTCTGATTTAAGACTCACTTTAGAGTAATATGGAACTGAATAAACCATGGAAATTTGCGCTAATAAACTCAGGTAGAGTGTAAAACTCAGTGTTAGTGTCCTAAATTAAGGGCCTGCTTCTGCTTCCTTGGCCTTTTTACATTCTGAACAGCTGAGAAAAAGAAGCGAAGAAACAGAGGCTCTGAGCTACGTTTCTCCTTTCCTGCTGCTGTGACAACAAAGTGTCTGTCTGACAGAGCAAGGCAGGACTGCAGCTACTCCCACCTGCAAGACAGCATATTAATGCAGGGTCCCACCCCATATATTGTGCCTGCCATCCCAGAGGCCTAATGTTTTTAAGCCTGTGCTAGCTTATTCATAGTGCTGGACAAACATAGCCTTGGAGAAAGCTGAGAGATGGCTAAGCAGAGCTCTCCTGGAGCATTGCACCCATTTGTTCAGAAAGAGAAGCATCTCTTTAGTGCTCCATATAACCTCAGATTCCCCTTTTTCTTACCAGCTACATTTTTAGAAAGGTCCAAGCCAGGGGCAAGGATCTGTTTGTTGCAACAGTCCTTTGTGTGCAAGGTGTTCCTCACACAGGTTCCTTGTGTGCTTCTCATTATGTTAGGAAACATCTGCCATGAAACCGGGATTCTTTTGGCACCGAAGAGCTGAAGCTCTTTAAAAAAAGTACAAAGACCTCAGCCACCGGACCAAATTTGGGGATACAATTACGGGACCTAGCCAGCTAGTTAAACTGAGAAGATAGGTATGTGCAACCCTTACACAGCCTCCATTACTATAGTTACTAATTAGAGCAAAGGAATAAATGGAAAGTTTTATCTATCCAGGCCTTTATCTCAGTAACTCATTATTTGTTAAGTCATAGTTTATTGGGCTATGAACATTTGATTATATAAACATTTCTTAATTTAACAAGCCTAGCCATCCTTAGAATAGATTTTATAATTACCCCAGCAATACTGCACTGATGAAGAAACTGCATTACAAAAATAATTTGGAGCAACATAACTGGAAAGAAAATGTTCTCACCATTGCATCTGCTTTATGCTTCTTCCGTTTAGCTTCCTGCATAAAGTAATCTGCATTGCGTGGCCTACCAGGGGAAAATAAGGAGACATTTTATTATTTTCTGAAGTGCAGAATATTTTCAAGTTATTTTTCCCTTATTTTAAACCTGATTTGCAAACATTTTTTATGAAGAAAATACACTTAGCATGTAACCATGCATCTTCTATTTCCAAATTGCTGCCTGTGGAGACAATAGCATTTATGGCTGTTCTCATTCTTTAGAAGTCAGTGATTCAAAGCAAAAGAAAGCTAATAAAATGTGGTTTTATGGATTATATAAACTGCTTCCCAAATTAGTGCAGTTTTGATCTGCAAAACGGATGCAAGCATTAAGCGGAACAAGTTATTCCGTCCTCTCCTCTCCCTGGTGCTTGCTTACCTCTTTTTCTACTCCTCTCTGTACATTGTCATTTGCCTTTGCTTCTCTCTGCTCTCAAAACAAGTGTGTGTTTAATCTCTCCACTTTGAAAACACACATCGAACCTGCTTGTCTCCACAACTACCATCTCACCCGCCTTCTCCTTCTTATCTGCAAGCATGCTGAGAGTGCTGTTTGCTTTTGCTGCCTGCAGTTCATCTCCGACTCGGTGCTGGGCTGTCTGCTGCAATTCCACTGGCGCGGCTCATGCCAATTTCTCCATTGATTGCTCCTCAAAGAGATCTCAGAGACTCCATCCCTTCCTCAGCGTACCTGGCCTACCGACTGCAAGGCACAAATTCAACTGCTGTCTCTGTGCTGAAACTCACAAGTCCATTTCTGATCCAGACTTAGCCACTTCCATTCAAACTGAAAACACAAACTGATGTCTCCTTGGCAATATCTGGTCACCACGTCAGTGAGCTCCTCACGGCTGAGGCAAATTTCTTCGTCTCCTCTCACAAGCTCTCCCTATTGTACCTTTCTCAGTCACTGTGGAGAATAGCCATTTGCCATGTCATTTTGGGCCATAACCTTGCATCTTCAGTTGTTGCCTCTCATAAAAGTCTTCACATTTCCTGACCCTGCAGATTCTTCCAGTCTCCTATATGTGGGAGATGGCCTTCTTCTTTACCCAGCTAAAACACGTCCTGGTTCTTCTCAGCTTATACCGTGGTTACCGCAATATCCTCGTCTCTCTCAGAGAGGGAAGTTTTGCCTTTTCTTAGTATTGGTTGGAGTGTCACCCCTTTGCCCTTATCTCATGAAAATGAGATATTCCTGAGTAGTCAGAGTAGAATTCTGATGTTTTTACCATTCATGCTTTTAAGTTCTTGGTGTTGTAAATGATATGGTATTATTGCCATGCAGCAATCTGTCGTAGGTTAACCCTGGTAGGCAGCTCAGCCCCATGCAGCCAGTCACTCACTTCCCTCCACTGGGGTGGAGGACAGAATCAGAAGAGTAAAAGTGAGAAAACTCATGTGTTGAGATAAAGACAGACTAATAGGTAAAGCAAAGCATAATAAGGAATTCATTCACTGCTTTCCATCAGCAGGCAGGTGTTCAGCCATCTACTGGAAGGCAGGGCTTCACTGCACTTAATGGTGACTTGGGAAGGCAAACGTCATCACTCCAAACGTCTCCCCTCTCTCCTTCTTCCCCCAGCTTTGTATGCCGGGTATGATGTCTTACGGTATGGGACATCCCTCTGGTCAGTTGGGGTCAGCTGTCCAGGCTGTGTCCCCTCCCAACTCCTTGTGCACCCCCAGCCTGCTCGCTGGTGGGGTGGGGTGAGAAGCAGAAAAGGCCTTGAGGCTGTGCGAGCCCTGCTCAGCAGTGACTGAAACATCCCTGTGTTAGCAGTGCTGTTTTGGTCACAGATCTGCCCTAAAAATCTTGTTGATATGAAGAAAAACAGTTCCTTTTCTCCAACTTTCTTTAAAATATTATTCTCCCTCAGAGTGGAATTTCTCCCGAGTTTACTCTACTCAGTAGGTCAGAAAGGGGACTAAAGACAGGTTTGTGTCCCAGTATCTCACAACCTATTGCAGCTGCAAATACTTCCCGTGCCCATCAAGATGCTACCATTATCTTAATAATATGAACCATCTGGATTTTGTCTTGGTCAATTATGAAATATTAGACATTGAAACAGTATTAGCTTGATATAGAAAAATAACTATGTTTTCAGAACCATTGGAAGAATTCTTAAAAAAATGTTAAGTCCCATCTCTCTTTGTCTTGTGCCATGACCTAGGTAAGACGGTTTACTACAAAGTGCCAAAAAGCAAAGCAAAGCAGAGAAAATCAATAAGACAGTGCTCTCATCTCTCTGAAATTACCAGAGTGATGAACTTTTACATGATCTTTTCAAACTCAGGTCATTAAAATATGTCCTTTGCAACATTCCATCCCATATATCACCCAGCACTGTATGTCTAATTTGCTTGTTTGAAGCATGGTAAGAGGCTGTTAAAAAAAAGTGAGATGATAACACAATGTAAGTATGGTCTACTTATTTATAAGTTAATTGTAAAATGGTTTTCACCTTGTAGAAGGGTTTATTCTCCTGAGTTATGATTAGCTTCGAGGGTATTAGCAAGAAGCATGCACATTACTGAACCAAGAAGCCTGCTTTGAGGGCCCTGCTATGGGGTGGTTAACCATAATGCAACGCGCAAAAACTGAGTACGTTGGATTGTACTAAGTAAATTTTTTTTTTTTTTTTGGAAGTCTAATATAAAAAAAGAAACTATTAAAAAGCCATTTTAAAGCAAAGCATATATATTCTCAATGTGAATGTTTAGGTATGTCCATAGGAAAAATACAAGACTGGTTTACAAATCAGTGGATGCCTAACAGAAATCAAGATGCACTGGGAAAAAATGAACAGGGTATGTTTTCTTCTAGTTTCTTAAACAGAGCTTGTTAAATAGTGTTAATAAACATGCCAAACCAAATTCTGATCTCTTTATGCCATCTATGAAATATTATTCTTCAATTTATCACTATGTGTTAATAAACTTCCTATTCAGATTACTAATGCGTAAAGCTGAAATGTCCTATAGATTTAATGATTTAATGTATGTTTATGCACATTGCATACATTTTTTATCTTATTTTAGCAAGCAAATAAGGTTGTGCTTGGATATATATATATTTTTTTAACTTTCATTGAGAAAGACAGGTTTCAAATTTTGTTTAGGTTCCCACTGCTCATGAACATAATTTGTCTTTTTAAATCTAGTATATTAGTTTAAATTATTATGTCATAAAGTAAAAAAACCCAGACTCACACCCCCCACACCCCCCTTTAATAGGGTCCTTGAAGACAACAGGTTACTTAAGCTCATGACACATGAAGGCATGTGAGAAAGCTGATGCATGAATTAATTACTGAGGATAGCTCTCTTGCATGCTGCACATTTCGTATCTATGAAGTTCACAAAAGATTGTTGATCATATTTTGACTTTACAGACCCTTAAGTTATAGGGATTGAGAACCCATATCTGTTACAAACGTGAAGGATCATCCAAATTTCCTCTGCAGCTTGGCCTGTTTAGTTACACTGGTGATAATCGCAGGCTGGAAAATATGCAGGTAACTTCATTAGATGCTAATGTCAGATACTAGATGTTATTGATGGGAGAGATCCTGAGGAGAAGCAAATCTGTTTTCCCACCAACGAGATTCAGAAAGATATGTGGCTAAACCCCTTTTCAGGTCTTTGGTCTAAGGTTTGCAGTCCCCCTGCAGATCACAGCCTTGCTACAGCCTGAGAAGCCAGAGAATAGAGAAAATATCTACAGGATTAAAATGGTACCAGACTACTGGCTGAACTGGAATGGATGTGAGTAGCAGAAGCAGCACTGGAGTCTCTTTGTTAGTCTTGCTGGTCATGAATGTAAACTGAAGTCCCACGGAAAGTTATTCAGTGACTTCTGGTTTTCAGACAATTGAGTCAGATTCTCCTCTTATTTACAACTATATGTATCTATTGGTGTCAGCACTGTCACTCCAGATTTACAAATGGAATTCAGGCCTCCTTCAAAAAAAATTTTTTTTAAAAAGAAGTCTGACTTCAAATTAACAGGTACCAACAAGTGTTTTATCTCTATTAATAATCTTGACTGCACAAGAAAGTCTTTTGTTTCTGAATATCTGATTGTTGGTACTTTTAGAAATACAGTCCTCTTCAACAAAGCCAAAAAGGGGTTCTAATACACTGCTCTAATGCATCTCATATATCTCTCTGAAAGGCAAGAGAAAGAGCGTAAAGCATCAGTGCCAACTAAGTCAGGCCGCTGGTGAATTCTCCCTGGGATCAAGTGTCATTATGTGAAACTGGCTGCTCTCGAGGAGAATTTACCCTACTATGTTGATTGGGGAAAGCAATCAAGTACCGCTGGAACCATTTCAACACATTCTCAGTCAACACTAGCCAGTCACCTAGGCACTGCAAGAGAATCCAGCCTTTTACAGAATAACCCCCCCATGGCTAGATCTGATAGTACAAACAAGGCCAGGCTTCCTTTTCAGCAGCGGCATTCAAACCATTTATGGCTTTGACAAGGGCAGCCTCAGAAGCATGACTGTGGCTGAATCCAGGATGAAATTTATCCAACAATCCGCTACTGTCCAGAATTTCTCTCACTCGCCTTGCCACCACTTTCTCTGGGAGCTTGTCGAAAACCAGCAGGAAAGACAGCATTTCCATTGCTTGTTATGTAGCGCGGGATCCCAGCGTGAGGTGAGATGGCTGCGGGCATCGTAATTACTCCCCTTCCAGAAGCAGCCTTTCAGAATTTCCAGGCTGTTGAGCTCCTAAGAGTGGTGGTACCATTACTCGGGTGAAATGCTTGTGTGTATATATGTTTCTCTCATCCTATTTCGCTCTATGCCATTACAGCGCATCTCTGCCACCTTTGTCTTTTGCTGCCTCCTCTGAATTTAATTTACTCCAGTTCAGCAGATAATTGCAAAAATGTAAACTCATGCAGTAAAAAAAAGGGAAGAAAATCAAACGAAGTGAATCAATAAAAGCCTTACTTTGTACAGTAATTTATCAGCATCTACTGCAACATAATATCCTTAGAATGCAGAG